GGTGGCAGCTGGATTCGCCTGTGGCACCGTCTGCACACCCGGCAACTAGACCATCTGCCAACTGGGCAAGTCCACAAGTGAAGCAGCAGGCTTGTCTGTCGGTTGACGCGAAGGGACGTTTTGATGGCCCCTCATCTCTCCATCACTGTCATCCTTGTGGACGGCTCAGCCACTTCCCTGAACCTCTGACAGCTAGTGGGCAGGGGTGCTGCCCTGCACAGCGGGTTGAGGATCCCCAAAGTATAAACAACCAGGAGATCACGACTGCGAGCGGCTCCGGCGGCCCCACTGCTCCCAGGCAGCTGGCTCCCTAGTGCAGAACCACATTCTCCGAAGGCAAGTCAGCTCAGAAAAGGAATCCTGGGGCTGGCCCCGCGGCGTAGCGGTTAAGGGCTCGCGCTCTGCTGCTGGCGGCCTGAGTTTGATACTGGGTGCACCGACGCACCGCTTGTCAGGCCATGCTGTGGCGACGTCCCATATAAAGCGGAGGAAGATGGGCACGGATGTTAGCCCAGGGCCAATCTTCCTCAGCAAAAAAAGGAGGAGAATTGGCAGATGTTAGCACAGGGCCGATCTCCTCACAAAAAAAAAAGGAATCCTAACCAAAGGGCTGCTTGGTCCTCCTTCCCCACCCACTCACCTTCTTAGAGAATTAGTAATAATAATAGAGACGCACCAAAGCCACAGACTCCTTGTTTTGACTTGTGTATTCATTTGTCTTTCTTTTCTGTCTCCTTGGGTTTGCCGGGGAACACCTTTGATGAGCCCTTCAATAAGTGCTCCCAGCTGACACTAAGGCTCGCCGGCCCAGCGCCCCTGGGTTTACCAGGAAGCCCTCCCAGGCTCAGCTATAATTAGAAGTCAATTAAATTGGGAACCCTTAGTATTGCTCTTGGAAGGACTCCCTGGCTGCAGCTCCCCTTGGGAGACCCAACTCTGCGGAAACCCATCTCTGCTACCCACAGTCCTGAAGCCAAGGCCTGGCCAGTGGGAGGAGCCGGTTCCTAAGTTCTGTTTCTGGCTTTGGTTTGCACCTCGCCCTCCCCACCCAGCGGGGCTGCAGGCCGGCCTCGCTTGCCTCTCACCTGGCCTGCCCTAGCTTGCTCTGTTGCTAGAAGGAAAACACCGGGAGTTTACCGCTGGGCCGGCCGTGTGCTTTAATCTCGCCTTAGTCCAGTCAGTGTCTTTCAAATGTAAATGTAGTACTGAATTGCAAGACTGTGTGCTAGAAAGTGGGGAAAGACAGCTTTTGTATCTCTTCAAGAGATTCCAGAAAGCTAACCCTGCCCCAAACACCCCTGAGGTTCCTCACCGCTGAGAGACACCGTGCCAACCCTGGGAAGATCCAGGCCCTGGGCCGGGCCGTGCCGCCTGCCCCAGAGTCTCCGGTCGGTCTCTTTCCGTGGGGTCAGCCCCCAGGGCATCCTTCCCCAGCCTGTTCTCAGAGCAATCAGAGACACACTTCTTCCCAAAGGAAATGTCTGTATTGCCTTTTTTCTGATCACAGTTCACATGTACTCTTCTCCATCATTCTGATGGTAGGAATTGTATAAAAGGGAATGTTCCCCATCACCCTCACTCCATGCTTAGTCACCCACCCTATTTCACTCCCTGCCAAACAATCTTTGTTGAGAATCTAGTGGCTGTCACTCCAGACCTGCTTCTATTATAGAGAAACTTGACAAATGCAAACCCACAGCTGTTCTTCTGGTGGTTTCTCTTTGTAGAGCCCTGCACGGTGTTCCACGGAACGGATGTTCCATTGGGTCTTTTGTTTCTTTTAATGATAAATAAGCACAATATCTAAGGCTCCACCTGGATTTTATCCAACCTCTTGTGGGAAGCGTGGGTGCCTGCTGCTCCCCGTCAGGAGGTGGGACAGGGAGGGACGGAGGTGGGGCAGGCATCATCCCTGAAGAAGCCAGAGCCCTGCTCTCTGGAAGGCCTGCAAAAGCTGAAAGGCAGGCGGACTCAGAGCGCCTGGGATGTGTCCCTCACTGGCCTCCCACTACTTTTTTTTTTTTTTTTTTGAGGAAGATTGGCCCTGCGCCAACGTCTGTTGCCAATCTTCCTCTTTTTCTTTTTTCTCTCCAAAGCCCCAGTATATAGTTGTATATCCTAGTTGTAGGTCCTTCTAGGTCTTCTATATGGGACACCGCCTCAGCATGGCCTGATGAGCAGTGAGTACGTCTGCGCCCAGGATCCGAACTGGTGAACCCTGGGCCGCCGAAGCAGAACGTGCTAACTTAACCACTACGCCACCAGGCCAGTCCCCCCAGCTACATATTTATGTGTTGGGTGCTTCTCCTAAATGTGCATTCTCCCCCAAAATCTCACTGCACAAGGCACTAAGTCCTGGGGTGTTTACAAAAGACGACCCTGTCTGTACGCTCAAGCAATTAACTTCTCAGCAGCCCCCCCACCCCACCCTACTAACTGGCCCCTGGTTTTCTTCTCTCAGCCCTTCCCCAACTCTTGACTTACACAGCCCTCCCTCTTTCTCTAGCTGAATTTCTTTATTTCCAATAAATAATTTTCTGGCTGCTTTTCTCCCTAATATATTAGGTTATTGTATTGTAAAAACAAAGTTCAGGGCTTTCCTCCTAAAAAAAACGAATGGTTTCCCATTGATCGGGTCTCCTGCTTTGAGCTACCCTGCACAGTCTTTTTTGTGTGGTTTTGGGAATTACGGGTTTCGATGACCAACGATGGCTCACCAGGACCAAGAGGATCCAGGGGGTGAAAGTTCTTGGGGGGCTTCCCAAGGCCCAGTTTGACTTCTGGTCTGAGTCAGAGTTGATGCTGAAGACTCCTCACACAGCCCCGCTGTTAGGAGAAGGCACACTCTTTTGTCTCTAATTCATCCGGTCAACCTTAAATATAAAAAAGGTAGTTATTTTACCAGCAAAATGAGTTTATTTGGGAATACAAAAGAATTGCAATTCAGGATGTGCATGCTATGGCAGACCATAGACAAATCCAACAAACAATGGAGAGGAACATCATTTTATAGAGAAAAAGGAGGAAATTGGGAGGGGTTGTTTTGAAGGAAAGTCCACTGGAGAGAAGCAAGACTTCAGGCTGGTGATGGTTGCTCACTGGCAGAGTTGACAACCCCAGTTGTCAATTTCTGTTTGGGATGCCACTTACCATCTCTTCCTGTAATTGATCATCTGCCTGTTGACACTTCATTCTGCTGGGGTCTGTAATCCACCATCTTTTCTGTAATTGACCTTGAGGTACTGCATGGGAGCACCCCGTTCTGGCCTCCTGACTCCATTTTAAATGAGGTTTCCGTTTATTAAATGACACAATCCCCAGTGACAAAGCAAGGCAACAGTGACCTAGACTGTGGCAACTGGGGAATCTAGGCGCTCATGTGAGCACATCCTCTCTCTCTGTTCAGCCAGGCTCCCAGGTAAAATTGTTTTGAATGAGAAACACAGGTCTCCCTTTCTGAAAGTGGAAAAGTGAAAAATAACACCTCCTTCTTAAAAGTTGGGGACAAGCATCTGAACGACTGGAATGTAGCCATCTTCTATTCATTAAGCAGCTGTGTGACCTTGGGCAAGTCACTAACCTCTCTGGGCTTCCGTTGTCTCAACTGTAAAATTTAGTAGTTGAACTTATACATTCTCTTAATCACTTTGATGGATGACCCATTCTTAACAGAGAGAGGGAAGAACCTTACAGCAGGGCTGGGAGAGCGGGAAGTAGGGTGGGGAGGGAATGGGCCAGATTGTGATTCCTGGCACTATATCCAGGGGTCCCCTGGAGCCAGAGGGTCAGCACTAGCCTGGAGCACCTCGTTCCAGGGTTCTTCAGACTCTCCAAGCAGGTGAAGCTATTGGTCACTGCCCCCACTTTACCAATAGGCCCTTGGTGTGCTCTGGTCCTTCCTCTCTGGAGGTCTTTCCCGGGGACAGGGGTGATGCTGGGAGGGCCATGAATGGAGTCTGTCCGAGGGGGCTGGGGCTCAGCTTAAAATCTGCCTTTACTTTTCGGGCGTATTCGTTTCCCACTCTGCTGGGAGGTCCCTCACACCCAGTAGGATACAGTGAAGGCAGGGACCCAGGCTAGGGGCTGGGCCGTGGCCAGTGCATCCTGGAGCAGCCTCGGGCCTGCAGGCACCACGGGCGCTGATGAAGTGTGTCTTGCAGGTGAACCTACAGGGGAGGATGGCTCATGTGGGAGACTGCAAGCGGACACCCTGGCTCCCCGTCCTGCTGGTGAGTGGGCTGAGCCCCTGCCTGCCCTACAGCCTCACCCCCGAGAGAGCGCATGGCAGCCCAGGCGGAGTCCCAGTGGGAGCTCCCGTCCGGGCTGTGTCCTTCACCAGCCACTCCACCTTGGGCCAGTTCCTTGGTCTCATAAGCCTCAGTTTCCACAGCTGTGAAATGGGAACAGTGATAACAGCACCTCCTTCACCGAGTTCTGGGGGTGCAGTGCGATGATGCCTGCAAAGCACTGACGAGCGCCCCAGGTTCACATTAGACTCTCTGGTTGGTGCTCCCTTGATAGGGTTTCATGGATAGAAATGTCCTGAAATGCTTATTTATGTTGTGATGTGCACAACCCAATGCCTGTGTGATGAGCACCATGCCTGTGGGACACGTAGCTGAGGGGAGGGGGAGAGGAGGACCATGTGACTAAAGGGGCTGTGTTCTGACGCTCCGGGAAGGGGCCCCTTGTCCATGTCTTTGGAGAGAATGAGAGAAAGATTTCATGGGTCAGGCCTCAAGGATGGGGTTCCTGACGCAGGACGAGAGGGAGGCAGGAGTGAGGCCAGCTGGTGGGCAGCAGGTGGCCTGCACAACTTATTAGCTAAAGGTACTAGGGACTTGGCACCAGACAAGCACCGACTGACTGAGTGAGGCCCTCACCAGCGGGCTCCATCCTCAACCGACCTCCAGGCTGTCTGGGTGCTGACCCCAAGTAACTATGTGTGTCTCCAAGCATGTCAGGAGGACAAAACATCCCCTTTCTTGTGGCAGGTGTCTCTGATGTGCTCAGCCAGAGCAGAATACTCCAGCTGCGGCGAGAATGAGTACTACAACCAGACCACCGGGCTGTGCCACGAGTGTCCCCAGTGTGGGCCTGGGGAGGAGCCCTACCTGGTAAGGCCCCCTGCCTGTCCGCCAGGCCACAGCCCCCAGCCTGGTGAGCTCTCCCTCCTTCACACCAGTGTCCTTACCCTAGCTTGTGTTGTTCTACATGTGGTCCCTGAGCTAAATCAGTGCCCGGTGCGCCCTGTGTGCCCAAGGACCGCGGGTCTGGTCATGGCAGCTGCGGCCCCTGTGCTCACCTGCGTCCTCTGTCCTCTTCCTCGGCCAGTCCTGTGGCTACGGCACCAAAGATGAAGACTATGGTTGCGTCCCCTGCCCGGCGGAGAAGTTTTCCAAAGGAGGCTACCAGATATGCAGGCGCCACAAAGACTGCGAAGGCTTCTTCCGAGCCACCGTGCTGACACCAGGGGACATGGAGAAGGACGCTGAGTGTGGGCCTTGTCTCCCGGGGTAAGCGTGGGCACTGTCAGAATGCACCCCAGGACGCTTTCTGCAGAAAGCCCTGCATGGCCCACTGGTGAGGACCCTGCAAACATGAGTACCTCAGGCCTGCAGCGTAGCATCACTCCTGCCGTTTGTCCTGGTCTACGAGGGGCAGCTTGGTAGGGAGGAGGGCACGTGTCTTCAGTCAGGAAGCATGGCATCTAGGATGGCAAGTCCTGCCACCCTTCACAGGACACGCGGCCCACCCAGGCTCAACTCCTGTGTCTCTTAAGTGGACATTAGTCATAATGATATCCTCTGACTAGCCAAATCAAACAAATTTGTTGAACACTTACAATGAGATAACACATGTGGAATGCTTTGGAGAAAAGAAAACTAAAATTCCATACAAAAGTATAATTTTTAGTATTCTGGAAAAAACTGAGGGTAAGAGCTACTAATAGGAATATTTGAGTCATATGGTGCCTGTAATTCCACCACAGTTCTGTTAGGTATTGAAAGTGTTCCCAAAAAAGCAAAGTGAAAATGCAACTAGCCTGAAAGATAGAAAGATAAAATCTTCCTTCTTACAGGCAAGACACACAGCAAGTTCTGCGTGAGATGAGGAAAACACAGCCTTGACACCCAGTCAATACCAAGCGATGGCTGTTGCTTCTGCCTTCTCTAGTGGCCACACCACGTAATTCTTGCAAGGGCTGCAGATAGAAACTAAAAGCCGTGGTGAAGGCTACACGGTGGTAGAGGTGACAAAGGTGGTGGAGATGGTGGTGGTGGTAGAGATAGCGGAGGTGATGGTGATGACGGAGGTGGTGATGAGGGAGGCGGTGGTAGTGATGATGAAAGTGGTGATGAGGGAGGCAGTAGAGGTGATGGAGGTGGTGATGATGCAGGTGGTGATGAGGAGGCAGTCATGGTGGAGGCAGTGGCAGTCATGATGGAGGTGGTTATAATGGAGGTGGTGGGGATGATGAAGGTGGTGACGATGGAGGCAGTGATGATGATGATGGAGGCAGTGATGGTCATGATGGAGGTGGTTATAATGGAGGTGGTGGGGGTGATGAAGGTGGTGACGATGGAGGCAGTGATGATGATGATGGAGGCAGTGATGGTG